CGTCTGTGTCTGTGTTTCTGTCTGTGTTTGTGTCTGTGTCAAACTGTCAGGTAAACAACCGCATTGACAAACACCGCTTTCGAGCCCGTCTTGATCAACACTTTTTTTAAAGAAACTTTCAACGGGTTGCATCGTTTTTTTTTTGAAGTGCATTGCCCCGGAAGGTCCAAGAAAGGAAAGGAGATGTAAAATACAAGGGACAGCTGCTTTTGTCAAAGCGCTTTATAACTATACAACACCATTTTCACAGCGAATCCTTTCAAACATATCGCATATATTTAACACCTTTGTTTTTTGTTATACTAATATATTATTGTTGCTAAAATCGAGAGTTGATAGACCTCTTCTGGCAACAGTTTTGGAATGCATGAAAGAACAAACAATGAGAATTCTCAGTAAGCAGGAGAAATGAAAGCGTTTCACACTAGGCAGTTTCATTATTGAGTCCGTTACGAGAGAAGCCGTGAGTACAATAAAATTTAAGCAAGTTACTCGCGAAATTGTTATATGGTGAAGAGTAGTAGATTTACCAGGAGGAAGATGGAATTTTGTAACAAATTACCGTTAAGCAGGTTCCGGTCATCAAAACTTCCTAAAGCCTTTTGATTACCGTTATTATTCTAATAGTGATTTTGTATTTTTTTCAAAATTAAATTTTATTAACCTCATTCTTAAAAGAACTATCAAATCTGTCGAAGGTCAAAAGTAAACAAATAAGAGGACCAAAAGTCTATGGCATAAATTGATCTGTTTATTAAATGCATTTCAGAAAAGTCATAACACTAAAATACAAACAGTTTAAGCCAGTTACTGTCTTGAGAAAGATAAGTTGTCAGGAGAGTTTTGCTTTCAAACCGAAGAAGTAACTGATGAAACAAGATGATGGAAACGGACATAAATATTTGACACCCGGAACTTCACTCCCAGTAACCTGCCTTCTTCAAATTTCTGGTTCCCAAGTTCCCTTCTTTTTTTTTAAGAGGAAGCTAACGTGCTAGATACTTCTAACCTGATTGGAAGGGCTTGGGGCGAAGAAGCTGTCATGCAGTAATACAGTTTAGAAGGCAAAAGTGGACCTGCCCTTAATCTTCAGCTTGGCCTTCTACGCTCTATCGTTAATATGCGTAGCGTCGCTAACTTGGTAAAAGTTCTTTGCAAAGATCGTTTAGCTCCTACTAGGAAAGAAGATAGCAGTAGATTGAACTAGTAGGAGTGTGATCGGTCACTGCGCTATCCTCTACCGTTGGGAAATTGGGCAATATACTATCTTTTATAAATTTCTTTTATCATTATCAATGGAGCGCAGGAATTTATTAAATGCTACTTTGTATTCAAGAAAAGATATGATTGAATAGAAAACTACTATGGGAAAAACATTTTCTTGGCATTATTATTTAAGAATGGTGTTTTTTTCCTATAAATAAGCTAAGTGAACGAAAGAGCTCCATTTTAAGTCATGTAGTGGAGGAATTCTTGGCATTTACTGAAATTCTGACAATGCTTGTCTAGTTTCTATATTTCCTAAAAGTCATGGCAGTTTGAATAAATATTACTTTTTCAATGCCTTATTCTTTTGAATTTTTTTTAGTTTCATATTTCGTTCCTGTCCCTTTTCTTCCTTTTCCAATTTTTTCACATTTTTCACTTAATTTCAATTCACTGCAGCTCATACTGCAAAAAACAAAGATACGAAGAACAGTGTCTGGTGATAGATGGGATTTTGGAGTTGTAATCAAGAGAACCGTTTGCTTAACTGGTCCTATTTCCTATATTTTCCAAGTTTTGTAGACTTAGTCGGAATATTTCCGAGATAGTACTTATCCTCTCAGCATTCTGAAGAACCGGTCAAGCAAAGCTAAGACTGAAGACCTTCTTGCTAACAAGTAGGTGCTACAAGCGAATCTCTGCTGACGTTTCTACTGGTTACGGTAATGATAAACTTTCAGCTAAAAAATCGGAATCACCTGCTACAAATTGATCTTTGTTTGCTAAAACTCATCGCCATATTTGCCAAGCCGTTTTCTAACAATTTCCGAAAGTAGATAAATGAGTTGGCAGTAGGTATTTGAATTTGCTTTGTAATGGTGAAAGAATGGTTCCATAGACCAAACACGATATTGATCTTATCTTCAAATCTAATTGGATGAGCTAAATAAAAAAAAACATCTTTCAGACATTAGGCATAATCTCATTTAGGTGCGCCCAGTTATTTCAGGAAGCCGTTTATACTTTTTAGAAGCCTTCTCTGGTTAAAATTGTTCCAGCCATTTGCAACGCAAGTTTCTAGGTCCAGGTTCTTTAATAGATTAATAGCGCAGATTTAAAGCTTAAGAATGGGTAATGTATTCCTTGAGAGCGCTTCTTCCTCATCGCTACTAGTGTTAAGAAAATCCAAATTGCTTTAATTTTCCCGGAGCAATATCCCTTCATTTTTTAATTTTCTTCCATCTTTACCTAGTTCCTCCTTCTTCTCTCACAGTTTCTTTAACCACCAAAACTTACACTTAAACCATATAACTAAGCCAATTTATTTTGAAAACCCATCTAAGCTCAGAGATCATCGCTGAAACTTCAACACCAGAAGCCCTCAAGCAACAAGGCAACGGTTGTCTTCAAAAAAGTGAAGCAAAAAAAAATAAGGGTCTCATTCTTTTTCTACAAGTCAGTCTAGCCGTTAGTGGTTTCTCAGAGAACCCTCCGATCTCAGTGGATCACAGCAGGGGAAGCTACAAATTTTGATTTGAAAAAGTATCTTAATGACTTACTTAAAGTTCGACTAATGTAAATCTTATTTCCTTCCCAGAGTAACACAAATCAATCTTCTTACAATGAGAGGGTGTACGTGCATTAAAAAGTAGGTGCTTTTTATCATCTTCTTTTCTTTCAACGCCCCTAAAATAATCGACGACAACATCGGAGGGGAACAAGGACTGATGCAGGCAATGTGGTACTTGATGTTGATTCAGATAACTGAGTGCATTACACAGATCTGTCGTGATTATCACCATTCAATAAAACTGTCAAAAAACGTTAAAAAGTTTCCAACTTTTACACATATATTACTGAAGTTTTGAAAAATATCCAGGTAACAAATAATAATAGAGTTAATTACTTTTCCCCTTCTATTTTATGCCATTACTGGCCTTTTTATTTTCTTTCCAGCGAAAAAAAGTTTTCTTTAAAAAGAAAACGAATAACAAATGAAAACATAAAAGAAGCTTGAAAAAATTTTGCCAGTTATGCTTTATAAGTTATAGAAGGATATGTAACAATATGTATATAATTTAATTCATAACAAAAGAATCAAAAATAGAGGAAAAAAATCAAGGGCAAACAAAACGAGATGAGACATTAATGAAAGAAAAACAAACGAATAGACAAACAGAATATGTTTCTGAAGCATAGAATGTAATCAAAAAAAAAGAAAATTTTGAAAAAGAAGTAATAATAAAATTATAAAAACGTTTTTAGCATTGATAATATTAATAATAACGAGTAAAACACTAATGATAGTAACCCGCAAAAAAAAACCAAAAAAAGTTATTTTAGAAAGGCTCTAAATACGGATTTGTGAAGCCGTTTGTTTAGCTTCGTTTGGACGAATGAATAGATCAGACTTGTCAAACAGCATTTTTTTTTCTTGTTTTTTGATCGATGGGTGATCTGTGAAACAGTGCACATTGAATTATTATCATTTTCTGGTTGCCGGAGTCTATGTCAGCAGTTGTTGCTGCATCAGTGCTTCTGCAGTACGAGATTCCAGATAAGAGCTTCCTAACTAAACAACTGTTAATAACTCATTAGTTTTCTCTCGTTTAAAATTATTCCCTTCCTTCTTTTCTCATTTTTTTTCTGTTTAAGTAAAATATTTAACTGATTATATAACGTAAATTTTCTTCTTCTTCTTCGAGAAAAAAAATTATTCTTTGTTTTATTTCCTGCAGTTCTTTGCTATGTTCAAATATTCAAAAGAATATCATAACAGACAAAAATAAAAAAATGTCCAATAGTAATAAAATATAAGACATGGGAAAAAAAAAAACAGATGACCACCGCAACGGTGATGATGACAACAATAATAATGATGATTACAGATTAGTCAAAAATGACAATACAACTAATTTGCGCTAAACAACCTTTAAGGTGATAACCACACACTATACACAGCTGTAGAATGATCAATATTTGCTCAAATTGTGATGTACAAGAAAGCATTTAAAGTGTTTGGCAAGAATAACATCCCCAGAGTAACTAATTGTATTCTTAACTGTCAACTGGTGCCATTAAAACAGCCAGAATGAAACAAAACATTAAAAATAAAGTACTGATAACCACAAATAATAGTATTTAATTTTGGTGAATGAATATGAAAGATTAAACACATAATCAATGCAAAAAAAAGCTTCACATTGATTTTACAGAATTATGTCGTAATTCCAGCATTTGGACTGAGAAAAGCAGTTGGATTTTCAATTTTTTTTAACTGTGTTTGATAATTCTGTAATCCGGAAGATTCTAGTAACAATTTATAAACGCTAAGCAGATCTGGTGCTAAAGCTGTCGGATTGTTCAGCTGAAGCGAATTTAAATTTTGATGTTGTTGTTGCTGATGCTGATATTGACGTAACACATCCGAACCAATAAGTGAAGGAACTGGAGCTACAAAACTATTGGTATTTGTCATTGATGGTATCAGATTAGCGGTATTACTCGGTGTAACGTTATTAATGATATTTTGCGAATGAGCCAGTTGTGTACCTAACAGTCCACCAAGGTTAGCATTTGATAATATTTGCGACTGCTGCTGTTGAAGGAGATATGCCGCAGCATTGTTCTGCAGTAAAGCTGAGTTTGATAAAGCCATTTCAGTAAGTAAGCCGTTGTTGTAGTTAGTCAAGTTATTGCCAGAAAATGTTGTACTCAACAGATTGTTCGTTACTGATGATGAAGTTTTTGACTGTATTTGATTGTTTAATGTTGACAGCGGTGAAGTATAACTCATTTGAGGTATAGTAGGTGGTGCAGGTAATGAATTCCTAGTTTGTGGCAACACTGCCGTAGAAGGTGTCAAGGTTTCTGAGTTGTTTTGACGTTGTAGAATAGTGTTCGCTACTGAAGCAGTTGATCGAGCCGTCGCTACTGACACACTGGTTGATGGTTGCACCTTTTCATTTGGTACTAATTTTGCGTCCTTTGATGGCGTATGATTTACTGCTATTGGCGTTGGAATTGTAGAACCAGCTGAAGAAGGTGACGAAAGGCTTGCGGCTGAAGAATCTAGACGATTGGATGTCTGTGTTGTTGGCATCCGTAAAGGTCCAAAACCCGGTGGAGGAAGAGTAGTTAAAGTATTTGGTGCAAGTGTTCCATCGGCAGATATCATAACTGCCAGTGGCGGTATGGTTGGCAATTTTACGTATCCGCATTCTTCGACGTTTCGGCGTTGCTCATTCAGTGTTGACGACACAGTTGAAGCCACAGAAGATCTTCCTTGATTGGTGGAACTGCTGGGGCGACTTAGCGCCACTGGGCTCAATCCAGACGAAAACGATCGTTTTTGAGAGACATTATCCTACAACAAAAAAAGAAAAACAAAGTAGTTTAGCCACAAACACTTGACATTTTAGAACTTTTCTTGTCTGATTGTAGTATTACAATAAGCATATAATTTCAATACATACAAAAACACTACTTTAAAAACAATAATTATTGCAGTTACCTTCTGGTCATAGATTTTCAAACTTTGTCATGATAGTTAAAACCTCAACGAAATTTAAAACGGATAAAACAGTGTGTGTTATTTGTGTGTTGAATGTATTTCTGAAAATTTGAGGTCATGTGTAAGTGTTTGAAAAGTAAGAAGGCGCTAAAGTTGTTTTTATACATAGTTAAAATTGCGCTGTACGTTTTATACTTCAATTGAACCCAAAATTTTTTTTTGCAAAACGTATCTTGCCAACTATGTAGTTCTTGAGTTCAGTGCAGCGGCACTTCAACAATTTAATTACCAGTTCTCAGTCTGCAAAAACGTCTATCTGTTAAGTGTAGGCTTTTGACCGTCTCACAGATTTGCTTTGTTAATATTCCTATTAAAGTGCAGCATAAAAAGGATATTGAAATGGAGTGATACAAATCACGGTGCTTAGAGACAGTATAGTCTTTGAATTAATAAAATGCCAAAAAAAATAGTCCCAACAGGAAAATCACGTATAGATAGAGTGTCAAATAAAAAGTCAAAAATTTTTTTTTTCAGTAGACAGACATGTTTTAATTTCTAATTTTGAAGCAAAAATTTTTGGTTTATAGAAGAAATAAAAAATTTTCATGAAAAAAAACGCTGGTTAATATTGAGTGTAAAGTTTTGTTACTGTGATTGCTGTTGGTAAGTCATCATATATCTGAATAAACGAATTTGGCATAATCGTTAACCATAACAATGATGATTTATGAAAATCATCTGACGATTGCAAATTCCGCAACAATCTTACAATTTGTTTTTGGACAGGCAACTCGATATGCAGCGTATATCTTATTTATTAATTTTTTCCGTTGCGTATTTATCGCCCCCCTACAATAGCAGTACGAAAAAAAAGATAATAAAAAAGAAAGATACTATCATTTGTTTATATTATAAGATTAAAAAAAACACTTTCAAAATATTTCAACAGCAAAAAAAAAGAAACAAAAAAAAGAATAAATAAATTTAAAGCCATAAAGAAATTTAACTTTTTTTTAATTATAAGGTATATAATGCACAAATAACTTGATAAAC